GATTTCATAAAATTGCACTGGATTAAGAAGACTTTACTTTAAATATAAACAGTATTTAAGTAGATAAATATTGTGTTGTGATCTCTGTTCGAATTTGAAGAGCCGTCGAAATGTTTAAAATTTGTTTTATAATTCTCTGCTTGTTTCGGTAATATAAAAAGACAAAATAGTTGAAAACCGTCGCGTTGAAAATGGCTATGATCCGCAGACAATCTTTACCGAATTATACTTATCAAAATCTTAGCTACGTAAAACCTACGCAATAGTCAGCATTATTTCAATAAAACTTACATTCATAGCCTTTCGTTAACTAATTATTTATTTTTTAACCCTCCAAAATGATTGGAAACATTTTCTGTCGTTCTGTCAGTCTAATTCTTATTTATGTTCCTTGTCCCAATCATATTTCCATTTACTAGGTTAATAGGGACAATGTATAATCTGTATCTGTCGGTATGTATAATCTATAGAGGATGAGTTTCTTTTTAATTTATATTTTAGACATTTTAATTTCTTAATTCGTAAATATTTTAAATTTCTACCATATTTAAATTTAATTAACATCTATACTGTTGCATTATTTTATTTTAATTATCGTTTATTTATCGATATATTTGCATATATTCATCTATATTAATGTCATTTTGCATCCTTATTCCGATCAATTAGTTTTTTTTTACCAGTTTTGCAACAGTATTTTATGAATTCAGAACGATGATTCTTGGACACCGCACCGTGCATGTTTTCAATTATGACCTCAATATTTATTTTATGATGCGCTTCAAATCTGATCTTGTCGGGCGGTTAAATAGAAAAGGTCAAAATATAAGGTGTGATATGAAGGATTGTATCCGGGCGACTTGCTCAGACCTCACAGATGAACAAGGGCAACCTACCCCTTGCACTTGAACCAGCGAAAATACTCAGAGAGACGCCCGTGCTCCCTCGAAATTAGTGTGGATCATTTTCTACCTACATATTGGTTATTAGTTGCTATAATATGACTTTTTTTTACTATTTTCATAGACCAGCTCATGGTCCATCTGTTGTAAAGTTCTTGCCTTATTACATCACAGACGTCAATGCCGTTACCCATTACAGACATGGGTTCAAAGTTTCACTTTGCAAATCGTGGTTTTTAGTTTTTTTATTGCAGTAGTAGATAGACAGATGACCCTATGGCATACATGATGTTTGTCAACGTAGTCTATAGACATCAGAACATATCTCCACCCAGCTTGAGACATGAACTCTAAAATTGTAAGGTACAATGACGATCGCCCCTTCAAACAGGCCAGATGACCCAAAAACTTTGCTTAATTTCAAGAGAATCTGTTTGGGGTGGACATATCGTACATAATTTATAGGATACCCAGCTGTACCCGTTCGCTTCGCTGGGCATTTAAAATTAACATTATTATTTCTCACCCCCACAATGATTCTCATCATGAACGCCCCCGCAACTGGTGTAGGGAGTCCAACACTTATATAAATATTAGCCTATCCATTAAGTACGTGTATTTTCTACACAGATACCAAGTTTCAAGTCACTCGGATGCATGGTTTAGTAGTTATAACGGAACATCCATATAAACCACTGTAGATTTATATATTAGTATAAATGAAAGCAGCGCCAGACTAAGGAACAAGGGGCTGTGTGAAATTTATAGTACAAATGAGATCACAAAAATTTCATTTCCGAGAAAACGGATTAATAATATACGAAGCAAAAGAGCGCGTACGTTGACATCTCAGATATTCGTTCGCAAAAAAAATGGATGTTGTAANGGAACATCCGTATAAACCACTGTAGATTTATATATTAGTATAAATGAAAGCAGCGCCAGACTAAGGAACAAGGGGCTGTGTGAAATTTATAGTACAAATGAGATCACAAAAATTTCATTTCCGAGAAAACGGATTAATAATATACGAAGCAAAAGAGCGCGTACGTTGACATCTCAGATATTCGTTCGCAAAAAAAATGGATGTTGTAAGCGGTTCGCTAAAAAGGCGAGCAGACGGCGTCGCGGCGTCGGGTCGACGGCCGCGCCCGGAATAACCAGCACCAGCAGCTATATTTGCAGCACGGGAGCGGGCGCAGGGGGCACACGGGCGCGTGCCATTTCTGCACCATCGCATCGCGCGCTGCATCTGAGTAATGCCATTGTAATGCTCTCGATATAGTCCTAATGAGTGGACGACGCTGGGCAGACGCGGCGTCGGCAGCGTCGTCCGCACCTGCGTCTCCTCTCTGTCTCCTCACGCGCTACCTGGACACGTGCATCGCTAACGTAAATCACGTCAGACATCGTACTTTTTTTTCCTACCTAAGCTGAGAGCCTGGAGAGGCTATTTCAGCGTAACCTTAACTAGTAGGTGAGCTCACGGCGCTCAAACCTGACGACGTTGCTAACACGAACCCTAGCAAGAGTCGTGCTTCGCAGAATCTACCACTGGCTCGGAAACGCGACCCACTGAGAAGATCCGGCGAGAAACTCAGTGGGCTGTGTCTGAGGGTTAATTTACTCGTCGAGCCCTTCGTCGCAAGCGACGGGTTCGACGAGAACGATGACCGGTGCTAGAAGTACCTAAAAGCACCATTAGTGGATCGGGAGGATCTGAAATGACGTGCTTGGGGCGACGTCGACTGCTTTCCATTCTGTCCGCAGGATCGGGAATGTAGTTACCGACGGCCACGATGAGAGGGTTCTCGTGTGGTGCCGCTTTATCGAAGTGGCCATCGTACTGACACACCTACAAATCCATGTAACTCAAAAATCATGTTAACATGACCTCGATTGGGTTTTTCTTAAGGTCAAAGACGCGAATAACCGATTTCATGTGGTCGCATTCTCTGGCTAATGCATATGTATGAATGTCAGCTGTGGGAGACATCGCACGTCTGCCGACTGTCCTTTGTAATCGCCCGTTCTGGTCATAAGGCATTCCGTTACTTTCTGCAACTACCTTTAAAATCGGTAAATCAACCAAATCGACAAAAAAAAAAGACCACCATCTATATGACAAGTTGATGGTTGACGACTGTTAATGAGAAACGAGAATGTCCCTACAATGAAAGCCGTCGTTTTTTCAGTCCCATTAAAACTGGAATTATTTGCAGCTGAACAGTTAATGATTTTCTATGGTGAAGCTCTTTATTGTTCATAAGCTTCGTGATATTATTTGAAACGTGTCTTGTTATATTCTTTAAATGATTTATACGCGATTGTAGAGTTAAAACCGATCGAAAAGGTGCCAGTAACGCGCGAAACAAACTCAAGTGGGTCAGCCGTACATGGCATATTATTGATGGCGGTCATCAAAGAGAACATTCACAAAACGTCTATAGTTACATGTCGTTCAGTCGATTTCCACAGACGAGGACAATTTTCGCGACAGATGGTCTATGACTCACGAACCTGTCGGTATCGGTGTTCGTTTCACGCAATCAATACGACAATACACATAAATCATTGCTATATAATTTGTTAATTAATTATTAATTACTAGAGGTCCCGCAGTAGTCGAAATTCGACTATATTTAATTGGAATTGTAAGGTTGTTCACTATTATGATTGTATTTTATACTTCTATAATAACAAATTTCGCCAAGACTACACTATAAAAAATATTAACAAAGACAAACAATATTTAATCTATTCTCAATTTGACAACAGACGTCAAGAACAAAAGTTTGACANATTAATTATTAATTACTAGAGGTCCCGCAGTAGTCGAAATTCGACTATATTTAATTGGAATTGTAAGGTTGTTCACTATTATGATTGTATTTTATACTTCTATAATAACAAATTTCGCCAAGACTACACTATAAAAAATATTAACAAAGACAAACAATATTTAATCTATTCTCAATTTGACAACAGACGTCAAGAACAAAAGTTTGACACTAAATAGTATGCATGCGTGTATGTGTCAAATACATGGTATGTAGTGTGGGTAATGTTTTCTTTATTGATTTAATGTATTTTTTATACATTATTTAAAAAAAAGCATTGTGCACTTCTTCTCTTTACTCTCTATAAGTGTGGAAAATTTCATACTCCTCCGTCCACGCAATTTTCGCAAAAAGGGATACAAAGTTTTGCTTCACGTATTAATATATAGATAGTCTAGAAACATAAAACGTATTTAATATAACAAACCACTCCTGGTTTTTTAAACCGAAGGAGTATCGGATATCGCGCCGAAAAAGAAATGACATCAGGCATCTCGGACATGCACAAAAAATGACATCATTAATTTACGAAATGAATTTCATGAACACATGAGCATCGAATTTACTGCAAGCTCATGCCATAAAGATAAAATTTATTCCAATTAACAACAATCATTTTAATTGCAATGAAATATCATCCAAATTCGTTCTGTTTTAACTTTGATGAAGATTAAAAACGGTGAGATTACATTTGGCACAACTAGATTGTATCATTTTCGTTATTATTGTTACTAATTTTCAATCAATCAATCAGAATACAGTATTTTTCCTATATATTAAAGTGACAAAATATATTTTAATCATAATTTATTTAACAAAATCCACTCTCTCCGATTAACCTACTTAGGAAATGTAAGTTATTCGATAAAAAAAATTAAATACGGTGTGCTAAGCTTGAATTTTTTTTTGTGACCTAGCACAGGTAATGGCCGTTATCCTGCCCGTTACTACCGCGACTCATACATTCAGTTTTGAAGCAAAGGACAGCCGTTCTCCAAATGAAATGAAGCTTCAGGATCGAGGCCGAAGATAGTCTCATTGTATTCTTTTTATTTATTTAAATTTGAAATATAAGTTCTAAGATCTCAGTATAGTTACAACGGCTGCCCCGCCCTTCAAACCGAAACGCTTCACGGCAGAAATAGGCGGGGTAGTGGTACCTACCGTGCGGACTCACAAGAGGTCCTATCGCCAGTAAAAAACAATGGCTCTTTCACGATTCTCCTACATCTCTCAAAGCAAATATTGAAGTACTTACAGTTAACATCCCCCGGACATGTCTTACAGCATCGGCCGGGCAGTAGCACGGGCGTTTCACAAGTCGGTTCCGGGCATTCATTCTTTATGTTCCGACAATGCACTTTCGCTACAACGCGACGCTTCTTTTGCACCTGCGGAAATAACTTGTTCATTGATCGTTTGTTAAAGCCGACTCCGTTATTTAAAAGTAATATACTTTATTAAATAATTACAACCCATCGTCAAGTACCTGCGAAGCTAGTTATCTAACACTATATCGATTAATATTTGATTATTTCTCTATTTAAGCTGCCCAAAAAATCACCGAATCAGTATAACCAATACTACAGCCTTTTCCTATAAACCTTAGAAGTGAAGAAATTTTCACAAAAATCTTGTGACTACCCAAACAATTACAAGAATAGATAAGATTGCTGATGTAATCTAACAATAGTCATAATGGTTTTGAAGTCGTCGTGGCTTTAGGATAAGACGTCCGGTGCACTTGTGTGTAGCGATGCACAGGTATTCGAATCCCGCAGGCAAGTACCAATTTTTCTAATGAAATACGTACTTAACAAATGTTCACGATTGACTTATACAGTGAAGGAATAAATAACATCGTGAAATAAAAAACAAACCCGCAAAATTATTATTTTGCGTAATTACTGGTAGTAGGACCTCTTGTGAGTCCGCACGGGTGGGTACCACCACCCTGCCTATTTCTGCCGTGAAGCAGTTATGCGTTTCGGTTTGAAGGGTGGAGCAGCCGTTGTAACTATACTCAGACCTTAGAACTCATATCTCAAGGTGGGTGGAGGCATTTACGTTGTAGATGTCTACGAGCTCCGGTAACCACTTATTACCAGGTGAGCTGTGTGCTCGTCCACCCACCTAAGCAATTAAAAAAAAATCCTGCTACTTTTTGAGTTTGTCACTTATATAAATTAAAAATACAGTAAACGGTACAAAAAAAGAAATGTAATACGTACCGCTATACACTCACATTTGATACAGTACATGATCCCGAAAGGAGGACCGAGATCCGCGAACCACTGAGAGCCCAACTCCATTGCTTGTTTACCGAATAGGCATTCTGTAACAACACATAGTTAAATTTTAAAATAAAGTTTCTTTTGTTTTATTATTACTAAATAAACAGCAGACGGCCTGCCACAGTAAGAAAAAGTAGGCAGTCACTGCAGCCCTTTAAGACCAGTCATCATTCTCCTGCCCTTCTCCCAGTCACCTGGAGTCGGTGCAACATGTTTTCTCCTTTCATACTCCTCTATTATATACCATTTCTTCGCTCACTCCCCTCTAAAACATATCGTCATTTCTTCTTAGGTCTACCTCTTCCTTTATATACTTCCACATTCATAGTTAACACTCTCTTACCAACCTCATTTTCATTTCGTCTCATCACATGTCCATAGCATCCCAAACGCGCACATGTCAACTTTTAAACCAATAATACCGAGAATACCGTAAAATACGACGGGCATTAACCCTTCAAAAATACTTCAAAAAGTCTGCAAAAGAAATACATATCACTATAGCTCTAGAGGAGCAGCACACCTTCCTTGTTGAGGTTAAGCTCTGAGCGAAATCGGTATTGGAGTAATCAATTTAAATTGTCATTTAAACGCTTAACTTACGTAAAACATTCCCCCTTAAATATCATGAATTATTATTCTCCGTATCAAAGTATGTTTTGTCTAAAAATTATAGATACAGCACTATAATACTATGCAGTACATCATCATCATCATCATCATCATTCTTTCCTATTACCCTCTGCTGGGGTGTAGGGCTCGAATCAAATTTTTCCATTTATATCGGTCTTGGGCAGTCTGTTCTAGCTCCTCCCACGTCATGCCCAAGACCCCTAGCTCCTGCTCCACCGAGCGACGCCAAGTTGTTCTGGGGCGGCCTCTCTTCCTTTTGCCAGACACTTTCCAGNCAGTCTGTTCTAGCTCCTCCCACGTCATGCCCAAGACCCCTAGCTCCTGCTCCACCGAGCGACGCCAAGTTGTTCTGGGGCGGCCTCTCTTCCTTTTGCCAGACACTTTCCAGGTCAGTGCTCTCTTTGATAGGTGGGTATCGGGCTTTCTCAAAGTGTGACCAATCCAATGCCACTTCCGCGTAAGGATCTCCTTCTCCATTGGTGTCTGCTTAGTGATCCTCCGAAAAACTTCAAGTGTTTGTGAATAGGTGCCTGCGTCAGATTATGAAAATCTTTTGGCCTGAGATGATCACTATGCAGTACAGACATCAATTATAATTATTATTATTGCGTTAATTTATTAACTATAAACGTAAGTACATAGTTCATAATAAACTGTAGCTTGTGAGAGAGGCAAGCAGGCACAAGTTAACAAGTCGGATTTACATACCGAACTTGTGAGTGAACGTCTAAAAATATAAGTTGCACATCGCAGTGCTAAAATGTAGATTCAAGTACAGGTCTACGCATGAGATGCGAACGGCATTACCATAAGTTGCCATCGTTTCTTTTTTTTTTGTTCGCCTATTTTTATACGCGGGTCCGTAAATTGTTAAAAACACTAAAATATGCAGAACGACTTGACAGTCAATAAATATGGCCGAGACAAAGCTGCACGTGCATATATCGGTCGACACCTTCACGCGACAAGTACTCCCGCGGTAATGACTTTTGCGAATTTCAAAAAGAAACGCGCGTTTTTTCGCGACCGCCTTTTAATAATTCAATCAAGATGTGATTATTTATTTTAAAGTATAATTTATTGCTGGGCGCAAGAGTTTATCACTTCTAACGAGGACTGTAATTAGAAGTATGTAAATGCTTCGTACGAACGAATGTAACTAAATAACATAATAAACTGTTAAAACGTAGTTATAGCACACAAAACGATAGGTAGGAACAACAACAAACAAACACACAATGCTATGTTATTAATAATACAAAAATAACTTATACTATTTACTTCTGTCGTGTTAATTAGATTTCCTTATGGCAGTGCTAGATAAATTCAAATAAAATAACATCCCAACCTTTCGAGAAAAGGTATGCCCTAGCGTCATCTTGTTTAATGCCTATAGTGCGGGCATAATGCGAAAAGTCAAAAGCGGGAGATTATTAATGCATTGACGCAAATGTAGTTCTAGCAAGTGCGGCGCATCTAACCAAGAAACCACCTATCAAACATACCCTCTTCTACTTGGTCAAACCAGGACAAACTTGTAAAGTTGACAGTCCGTGGTCAAAGGTTACAATCCGACACGTTAGTCCGATCAGATTCAAACAAATAGGTAAGGAAAGGACTACCAATGGACGGATACTCCCATATTATAAAGAAGAATCTTCTGGAAGGTGTTGTCCCAACCCTCAGATATGAAGAATACCACTAACAGAAGAAGGACATCTTAATTATTCACAACAATATTATGCACTTCACCGTTGCATAACATTAACTTTGCAAACACGTTCAAGTATACATATTTATGTACATCCGAAGTCGTGGCCTAAATGATAACATTATTTGCTAGTATCCAATTATGACAGTATTTAAATTCTGCAGAAAAGTTTTTTTTTCTCTAAAGAATGATAAAGAATGAAGAAATAACGTGGTAAAAACCTTCATCGTTCACAAATTTGATGTAGAACGCATTGTTCGTTGAATTTTTAAATTGAATTCACGTGATGTTCATGAACTTCGGTAGCAATACAATAGGCTATTTAAGCAAATTTCAATCTCAAATATACAACTCTAGGCAAAGCAAAAGTAATAAAGCTCTATAGATTGGTACAACGGTTCAAAATTGTACAGCATTTAATAGCTTTTTATCAGCTCTTGTTCAAAAACAATACAACGATTAGTCGGTTACGATAGATTGTATATCAGATGCCCGGCGCGATAGTGCAGCCTCCGTAAATAGGCCCCCTTATCTTACACTACTAACTATTTAATTAACCTCGCTGCAAGAGTTCACAGATAAAACCTAGATGACGCTCCGTGAGAACTCAATAATAGTTTTAGATTGAGTTGTGTTTTAAACAGGATTACTGCGCCAAAGCGATCTGTTATGCGATTGTCAGATCAAAGGCCAAATTCTAAAGATTATTTTCATTAAATTCGTGCTATCAAATATAAATTAACGCTATATGCGTCAACGTTGTGTTAAAAGGCAGACACACTCTTCTGTTTTTAGTTAAATAGCTTCCCGTTTCAAACAAACCTGACAGGCCTAAAATTTCCGACACATTACATTAAAAAAGTACGTAAACTTAAAAGATTTAGACAACCGACGGTGTGCGAAATGTAACATTTTGACATTAGATGATGCACAGAGAGATATTGAATATTCCCGGCAGTTTCAATATGGCACATTCTCAGTTATAAAATAAAAATAAAAAGTATGTACGTGTATCTATCTTGTGTCAGATTGTCGGATCGGAGTGCCATGATAGACGTTAAAAGTGTTAGAGATCACCCATCCCCGGCGTCCGACTAATGAGGATGGAGGGTCCCGGCGCCGGCGTTCTCAGGATGCCAAAATGATCGTATTATAAACCGTTTGGCCGTACATCTTTCGGATATTATATCACTGGTCCATTCATTCACGTTAACTTTGACAGCTATCTGTATCTATCTATTATTTTTTGTGATTCATTCAAAGTTTGTTATTGTTTTAAATTGACACCGAAAATCGTAGCGTTTTCTCAAAGGACGGCTGCTTCATAACACGTCACATCTTCCAATCATTGGTTCACAACTGTATCATTAATTTTACGCGCTTCTTCGATTTCGTGAAAATATTAGAAAATATTATCTTAGACGTGATTTAGGCATATAAAGCGATACGAGACGTCTCATAACCTTCCTTTCGTTTTCTTGGAAATGTTGGCGGTGTGCCAAAAACACTTCGCCGACTAAATGAAGTATTGGCGACGCCCGTCATAACATTCTGATCTGATCTGTTTATGGAAAACAACATCGATACATTCCTGTCACTATCTAAACTACTTAGTCTGGCCATAAATACTGTTACAATTAAAAATAAACAAAATATTACATTTGAATTTGGAATCTGTCATTTTTATATGATTGCTCATTGAGTTTTCTCATTTTGGCGCCAATACATTGTATGTACTCTTCGAATAAGCTTTTTATACTTTAAATTGTTTTAAATTTATGTGTTAAACTAACAAACAAAAACTAATGTAAAAGTAATAAATGTTATTTGCAATAGATTTTTTTTCCTTTGTAACAGTATTTATGGCCAGACTAAGTATATTGACAAAAACGAATGCACTCGTATCGATATGATAAATGCTTCACCCTTTTTGCTTTCATTTCAGAATCGTTCATTTTAAATCGAACGTAACGAACTCTAATCTATAATCTATACTAATATTATAAAGAGGAAAGATTTGTTTGTTTGTTTGTATTGAATAGACTCCGAAACTACTGAACCGAATTGAAAAATTATTTCACTGTTTGAAAGCTACGCTATTCTCGAGTGACATAGGCTATAATCTTTTTTTTTTAAATTTGGTATTCTTTCTAAAACTCCAATAATGTAACCCAAGATGTTAAAAAATTACCTAAAATATTCTTTACATCGCGTGCCCTGTGAAAACTATTGTTGATAGAATAAAAATAAAATAATGTACTACGACTTTGTAGAACAAATTATTATTTACGAAAGTGTCGCGACAGCATATGTCTAACTATTATAGTTATGCCGCAATAAGTGTTCTTTTATTTAAAAAAATAAAACAACATCAAATATCGTTGAAATTTTTGTTAAAGACCCAAGCGGAGCCGGAGCGGGTCGCTTGTAATATTATTAAGTTGAAGAGTTTGTTGGTTTGAGCGCGCTAATCTCAGGAACTACTGGTCCGATTTGAAAAATTCTTTCAGTGTTCGATAACTCATTTATTGGGGAAGGCTATAGGCTATATAAAATCACAGTAAGGCCAATACAAGTGGAGCACCACTAAAGAATGTTTCAAAATAGCTCCTCAACATTCTATAATTCAACAATATTTTCACTTTCTACGTAAATGAAGTGGGGGTAAAATTTTGTGTTATGCCATAGTTAACTATT